TTCTCTGATAGCAGTGTACATTCAGGTGGACTGGAGGCGAGCATTGGCTTTACGACTATCCGGAGGCCTGTCCATGGTCATATAAATCGGACTGCTTAAGGCTCCCAGAGTGCTCAACGCTCAGTGCTCGCTTACACGCACCTCAGGGCTCAGTCCTGGGCCAGATTTAGTTATGTAGCCGCGTTTGAAGTAAACAAACGCCAGCCGCCTGTAATACGGGACCGGCGGTAACAGGGGTTTACACAGGTGCGTTCGGGGAACGCACCGGCGACGATATCAAGTAATTGTATCCAAAAGAAAAGCTACTGTGAATGCGCGGTTGTACTTTGAGTGGTTGAGAAATAGTTGTCCTAACCCCTAACCCTAAACCCCAGCCATAACTCCTAACCCTAGCCTATAACCCCAAAGGCCTTACCTCTAACCCTAACCCTGAAATATCCAAAGCGATAGGTGGAAGGGAATGACAGGCCGAAAGGCAAGAAGGACAATCGAAGTTCTGGCCGAAAAAGTACACACAACAACAAAGACACAAGGCCTCCAACAGAATACACACCGCAACGCACAGCCACACCATGCCAGCATAATCACGCCAACTCAAAATTATTAAATAGGCCAACAGTACTGTGTCCATCAGGTGCGGCTACATAGCCATGTTTCCTGTACTGACGCCAGATCAGGAGAGGCACGTCCACATGACCCGATCGCGCAGGGCGACAGGGTGAAGGACCCATGGGATCGAGGTTGGGACATAGGTAGTTCAGACGAGAGTTTGGGTATGGCGTGCTAAGGACGATGACGACGTCAAATGAATCAGAAATGACCACTCTGCTGCCCAGGGAAACTTTTCACTCGAGCTAGGCTTTTAAGTACGTCCAGAATTGTCAGGGTAGCAAGATTCAACGTATTCGTCCACTCCCAAGTTCACTTAGGCTCCCTGACATCCACGAGAAAGGAATAATTTGAGGAAGACATGACCCTGGTGACCGACAGTTCGACCGTCGTGTCCTACGATGTCCACAGTGTGGTCCACAGGAAGGTGGAACTGGGACGGTAATTTGCGTGTGAGCTAGCTTATGGTGGGATTAGACTTAATAATAATAATAATAAGAATAGCGTATTTTAGGGTAATAGGCATTACCCTTGATGACCCTATTGAAAACGGTACATAAAATATAAATGGTAAATGTACATCTTACTAAAATTTTGTCAGCAAAATATTTGTTCACGGAAAACTTTTTCCCAATGCGGAACTGCGAAGGGTGCGGCAGGCGGCCTTCTCAGTGTACATATGCAATTTTAAGTGCAGTTATATACAATCAGCATAAAGTGCAGTCATTTGCATAGTTTGAGAGGAAGCATCTCATTAAAAGTCAGGAATGTGTTAAGTAGGGATGAAAGCAAGAAATGGAATTTATGGCTGGCCGCAGATAGTCCTGTAGTGAGAGTCGTCGTTTATCAAAGATCAAACGATCCAGCTGCCTTTTAAATACAGCCATTGTATCAGATGTCACCAGTTCACTGGGGAGTGAGTTCCATGGTCGAACAACACGCTGACTGAAGTAAAACTTCCGATGGTCTAGGCGTGTACGCTCCCGCATGACTTTGTACGTGTGACCGCGCAGGTGACTCGTGGTCGTGAATTCAAAGAAGTCTTTAGTTTTAAGCGAACATTCATGCCCCTCGATAACGCGGAATGTCCATAACAGGTCACACCTCATTTGTCTATAGTATAGGGGGAACAACTTTACCTGGATCAGTCTTTCTGGGTAGGACAGAGTCCTGAGACCGTCCACCAGTTTTGTGGTCCGTCGTTGCGCCTGCTCTATGGCATCACTGTCTTTCTTCCTCCAGGGCATCCATGATGGCAGTCCGCATTCCAAGTGCGGTCTGACGAACGTGCCGAGTATCTGTGAGAAGAGTTCTGGAGGAAAGATTTTGAACGCTTGCCTAATCCAGTGCATGATGCTGGTTGCCTTTTGGACGACTCTTTTGTAGTGCTGAGAGGGCAGCAAGTTTGAGCATGTCCAGACACCTAGGTCTTTGTGCGTGTCCACTTCTTTTAGTGGAACCCCATTTATGGTGTACTGATGTTTTGGGAAGCGCAGCATCTACCGCACTCTCTTTTCCCCACTCCCCACCTGAACTCAACGTCCAGACATAGACAAGAAGAAAGGAGGCGGGGAGGGTGCAGGTGGACAGCACCACCGCACCCCCACCTGGGCGTGCCATCACACCGCCTGGTCCACTACCAACACTTGACCAGGATTTTGACTAACAAAAACAGCACCACAACGGGTCAGAAGGACAAAGATGATTAACAACAGTAACAACAATTACGGAAAAGACGTGGATGAATAGCAGCCGTGCCCACCACCCAGAGGGAGCGTAAGCACATCTACCGGCAGGGAACCATGTGCCATTGAACAGCCAGCAGACACCAGGCTGTGAGAGCCATGGTTTGCTGATCCTGGCATAGCAGTCGTGTGAGACACATGTAGATGGGCTGCTGCATTTCCGTCAGTAACTGTGCTCAGACCCAGCATCAGATGCTTGCCACAGGGGAACCCATGCCCACGACACACCAGCTCATTCCTCCTTGCGACAAATACGGCGTGGGTGGATCTATCACAACGAGCTAAACGTCGTAGCTTGCAAGGTTGCCAACTGGTGCGATAACTCGGTCCTCACAATCAGTAGAGTGTGGGCATGTGGGGTGGCTGACTGAAGAAGTGAGATTCAGGCTCAATGACTCCTACCTAATGAGACCTTTGGGGCACACACACTCTGAGATGCGAGCCGCTTCACAATTTCTCGATTATCTGATACATTGCGCAGGAACAAGCGTGGAACGCCTAGAAAGGCTCTTTGGCCTTGTTAGCCACTGCGTCCGAACCTAAACCCTGATAGTCTTGACAGTAACTAGTCATCGGGGCCTGTTCGGTAAGAGAGAGAGAGAGAGAGAGAGAGAGAGAGAGAGAGAGAGGAGAGGAGAGAGTGCGGTAGATGCCGTCAAAGTCTACCACTCCCTAAGCAAATTAACATACACGTTAGCGACACCGCGCCAACGAATGCATTTCAAATGGACTTTTCTTAAATTTTAGTTACCAGTGACTCCTACGGTCTCCAGACCCGTCAGTTCCACTACAACCGGACGAAAACCTGGTCGTCAAAAGTAAGCTTGCTATGCGTGAGGAGTGTGTGTGCTGCGAGGGTCTGGCTCTTTATGTCGATCGCTTGTGCAACCGAGCAGGCAGATCTTGGTATCCAGTCTGTTTTTATTGTTCGGCTTAATGCATGTGCCCTTGAGGGAATGCAGTGCGCCAGTTGCAATTACGGAAAAGACGTGGATGACTAGCAGCCGTGCTCACCACCTGCCTACCCATAGGGAGCGTAAGTACATCTACCAGCAGGGAACCAGGTGTCATAGAACTGTGGTGAGGTAACGGACTAATTTACCTTTGACAATTTAGCCCCATTTTCTTTAACCGGATCGCTTGTTTGAATGTGAAGAAAAACACACACCTGTACAACCCGCCTTGCTGGCCTGCGTTGCTCTCGCGCTATGTTGTCAGGCTACTTAACATTCACAATCTCTATATTATTCACTGCTCAGTTTTACTTGCTGCCTTTAAGGATAGGGGCTCGTGGGATATAACTAGTTAGTTCATGAGAACATTTTAATCCTCGTCAGAACTGCCAGCGCACACCAGGTTTGCTGATCCTGGCATAGCGGTCGTGTGTGACACATGTAGATGGGCTGCTGCTTTTCCGTCAGTAACTGTGCCCAGACCCAGCATCAGATGCTTGTCACAGGGTAACTCATGCCCACGAAACACCAGCTCATTCCTCCTTGCGACAAATACGGTGTGGGTGGATCTATCACAACGAGCTAAACGTCGTGGCTTGGAAGGTTGCCAACTGGTGGGATAATTCGATACTCGTGATCAGTACAGTGTGGGTATGTGGGGTGACTGACTGAAGTGAGATTCAGGCTCAATGACTCCTACCTAATGAGGCATTTGGGACACACACACACACTCCTAGTTACTTAGATGATGATGATTTGACACATTGCGCAGGAACAAGCGTGGAACGCCTAGACGGACTGTTTGGCCTTGTTAGCCACTGCGCCCGAACCTAGACCCTGATGGTCTCGTCATCGGGGCAAGAGAGAGTGCGGTAGATGCTGTCCAGGTCTACCTCTCCCTAAACAAGTTAAAATACGCGTTAGCGGCATCGCGCCAATCACGCCGTAGAGCACACGACGAAAGCTGTCGCTCGCGACGGCCAGAATTGTAAGATTCAACGTATTCGTCCACTCCCAAGCTCACTTAGGCTCCCTAACATCCTCGAGAAAGGAATAAGTTGAGGAAGACATGACCTCGATGACCGACAGTTCGACCGTCGTGTCCTACGATGTCCACAGTGTGGTTTACAGGAAGGTGGAAATAGGACGGTGGCTTGCGTGTGAGCTAGCTTATGGTGGGGTTAGACTTGTGCGGCATCTACCGCACTCTCTTTTCCCCACTCCCCACCTGAACTCAGTGTCCAGGCAGAGACAAGAGGAAAGGAGGCGGGGAGGGTGCAGGTGGATGGCACTGCGCACCCGCACCTGGGCGCCACCAATAATCACCACGATCTGCCAGGAAGATCTGCCACCTCGGATCCAAATCCTCGGCCCCATGATCACAGGCCACCTTGACTTTTGATTAACCCTCAGCCGAGGCCAGCGCATGCCAACGCTCAGCCATTGACAATAGCCGTCCCTTGTCCCCTCATAGTTGGCACACACCACGAAACTGCCACGATTGCCCACTAACTTCTATTCCCATGATTTCTTTTATGGGCAAAATACCATGCCTTCTACAAAAGGAAACCCAGAGCAACCCAAAATTCCTTATTATTCACATCGCTGATTGTGTTAATTAAAGGCCATTGGCGACAATGAAGCGAAAGAACGTCTTCAGATGTTCTGCCGCCATTTATTCTGCAGAGTTACTTTAGCATTTCGAAGATGCCGACTTCTTGGAGCCACACTCCATGCACATGACACGTTTGGCGCGTTCCTCCTGCTCCTCAGCCTCCTCCTTCATTGCCAACGAGTCGTAGGTGAAGGGACATTCAGCTTGGTGGAAGGTATTGTAGATGTGTGTTGCTTGGGGCACAACCTTGTCGGACTTCTTAACATGGTGTTTCTCAGCAAAGGTGACAGTCACTTGATCACCACGCTTCTGGGCCATATCTGCCAGCTTCTTCCAGCCCTCCTCCAGGCGACGCTCCACTTCGATCAGCTCCTTTAACACCTGCTCTATCAACTCCTTCACGGATTCCACAGGCTTCTTGTGGCTGGAAGCATTCGTAGGAGCAAACATCTCCACCGCGGCTCCACGACGGGTTTGGAAGTTTATCAGAGCAGCCCGACGGAAGAAAATTACGTGGGCCCGTGCACGCAGGTATCGCGTCAGGTTGGGCAGATGACCAATCTTCTCGCAGGCTGCATTAGCGCCCGCCGTCAGGTAGGCGATTTCGGCATCAGTGTAGGCAGCAATCAGCTCATTTACTGCATGCTCGATTTCGCCGGGATAGTTGGTGTGTTGGTGTTCCATTATCGGAGGCGACTGACTCTGACTGGGTTCAGTTGGCATTCGCCTATTTATGCTCCTCAATGATGGTCAGGCGTTCACTGCGGCTCGGAGGAAATCGATGAAGGCATGTGAGCTGCTCCGCTAACAGGACAGAGTCTACGACGGTTCGTGGATTCCGATGAGCACATGGTCTCTTTGCAATTTCATGTGGAACTTCGCATGAACACGTGATGGTTTTCGTCGTTCAAAACGGACAATGTGCGACACAACCCTGGAATGAAGCTGACTTGCGCTTAAATTGAATAAAAGCGGGGATGACTTGTCTTATCCCGTGCCGCTGTTTTTCCTCACGCATACCGCGTTTCGCTGATGGGAGTAGAATAAGATGACTGAAAGTAGGCGTGCGGTTGGTGACTGAGTCGGCATGATCCTATTTCGTAGCCGTACCTGTTAGGACGGTCTCCTACCTTTAGTGCAAAATAAGTGTTGTCAAACGGCATTGAAACGCTTAATTTGTGCTGTATCTGATGCCAGAGCGTCCCGAGTGCATTGTCAAGAGAAGGGGCATTTTTGGCTGTCGGTGTCCTTAGGGTAGGTTGGGTAAGTAAACGCAGGTGTGAATGTAACTGTAGGCGATCCGCCAAAATGTGAACTCAGTCGGCTTGCTCCTATTCTTAACTTGGTTGCTATGTTTCTCCTGCGAGCAGGACAGATCTGTGGCGGTCACTCCTGTGCTAATTTTACAATCTCCTTCCACATCGAGGAGGACGATTACTATTCTACCTTATTCTTCAGTCGTTTTATCAGCTGGTGCGTAAGGAGATACTGTTGTAAAGAAAACCAACAAATGGCTTCATCTGGTCATAGCTGAGTCGCTGGAGTGAACTGAGGGTGTTAACTATTCAGGGATTAGTGGACGTGTCCCATAACAGAACCACGACTGGCAGCACCGTAGGACTCCACATCTACTTCAACTTAGATTTTCTTTGTGGGTGTCGTTCTGTGAGCATATTAATGTCATAACCTCAGAAATCGCCAATGAACTCCTGCGTTTTCCGCTCTTCCATCTCATTCACAGGTTCGTGTTTTGGGCCAGTACTGCTGACATAAACGCTCACGCACTGACCGCATTTATCTTTCCGAGCGAACGGGCTGAACAACTGGTGGGTCATATCTTGCTATGGCAGCGCATGTTAACACTGATCCGGACATTTGGGGGGGGGGGAGAGAAACATTCTGAAACGAAGGCGATGCACCAGACTTCCTTGAAGATGAATTCTTGAGCGATCGAGCCCCGTGGCGCGATGGGGCAAGCACGTCTCCTTATCCGATCGGTGAGGGCCCTTTCATAAGGGTTAATATTCCCAATCACAACCGACATGACAGTGAACTCGTAGCTTAATGGTGGAGAGTCAGATACGCAAACGTTGATTCGTCAAAGGATTCAGGTTTGAATCCTATACCGTCTAGACCCGGGAATTGGACCTGGCTGGATGACGGTGATTAATATGCCAGAAGTACCTCCCATCATCCTTGTCCTTGACGGTACTCTTTCTGCCGCCTAATTTGATCGTTGAACGCTCCTGTACCACCGTTACATTATTTCGCTTTTAAAACCGCCTCCTAGCCGCTAATCTCTTCCACTTAAATCTAAAGCGGTCGTGATGAGCCTAAACCCAGCCCAACTGTCGTCTCCTCAAACATGTTTTTTACTTCTCAACCTACCTTATCGGGGGCAAAGAGGGAAAGCAAACTTGAGAAGGCATATATTTTCCTGAGATACCGAGACAGATTATGGAGGAGAGATGTGGACCGAAACGATATCAGACATTCGCCGAACTCTCTCCCCTAAGCCACCGCAGGATCTGCGTGGTTTCCTAGTATTCCTCGAACTCCTCAATGGAGTACTCATAGTAACTGCAACCCTGGCAGTGATGCCGGCGCTTCTCTTCCTTCTCCATCTCCGCCTTCATAATAGTATGATCCATCTGGTACATGTCCCTCATCTGCTGCGTCTTATTGTACATGCCTGTAGCCCTCTCCGTCTGGCTGTACTGGTAATTTAGTTGGCGTTCTGCAAAGTGCTTGGAGATGGCGTCCTTGACCTCAGCGGCCACCTCACAGAGTTTGTGCCACATCTCCTCCAACTGTTTCTCCACTTCTGCCAATTGTCGCATAATGTCCTTCATCTCGTCCGCATTGTGGGCAGTCTTCACCGGCTGGCCGTGATGTTGCTGTTCCGATTTGTACTCCGGGGCGTTGGCAGATCTGTGAGCCTGGTAGCCTATCAGGTTGTTGCGCTGTTCATTCTTCTCACAAGCCCGAGTTTGGAAGTAGCGCGAGAAGTTCTCCAGTCCAACTTGCTCGCTGGAGGCGTTTGCCGCAGCCTGGGCGTAAGCCAGCTCGGCGTCGGTGTAGGCCGAGATCATGCGGTGGATCATCTGTTCAACCGCCTCGGGATAAGTGGACTCCTTGTGCTGGCTTGAGAACATTGTGCTTGCTCGCTCGCTCGCTGGATGATCTGACTGCGAGTTTGGGTGTCTGCTCTTTTATACATCAGTTCTCTGCCTCCGCCTGTCAATGCGAAATTGGTCTTCGCGCAAAATAATCGACCTTTTGGATGAATCGATTTTTAACCTCGGTTGGCCTTCGGCGCAGAAAATCAGCATCGGGCGTTTCGGCGTGCTCGGGTGAAAAAAACTGCGTTTGAATGACGGCAGAACCGGAGGTGGTATCGCCTTGACCGACAAGGGATGCTTACAAAAAACGAGACCGTAATACTTGAGTCCTAGTATGTCAGTTTATTTCCAGGTTTTCAGTCCAGATACGAACTGAATTATGCGGACAGTTGCGTCATTTCCGCCTTCTTTTAAAGGAGTGTTCAATCAGATACGCCTTGTGAAGATAAAAACAGGGTTGTTTTATTTGTGAACCAAAAGCAGGCATTTCTAATGTCCTCGATCGTCCTCGATGCGTTGTTTATTTTTTTAAAAATGCGCTTAAAATACGAAGTACTAAATTTGACATTCGGTAATTCGATCTGCAGTCGTTCATATTTAGGCCAAATCATGTGTTTTTAAGGTTTAAGTATGGTTGAAGTTGCATTTTAAATTGTATGCTCATACAAAGTTTTTTTGAACATGATTGTTTAAATTAATGGTTGGAAACAGTATTGTCTCTGCTATCTCCTAACGTGTCCCATTATACAGGCGGACTGTAGTAAACGTAAAAGGCTAAACCATCTCCAAATATCTATTCCTTCAGCGGAAGTTTATTGGCTAGGAAACAAAAACATGAGGACTTTACTCATTTACAATTAGGTTTCTCTTTTGATTTTCCATGTAGAGAAATAGCTGCGCTACGTTCTTGACAAGACATGTGTACATGTGTGTTTGAAGTTGAGACGCGAACGATCTCTGTTACTACATTGCGAATCCATCTCCAGGTACGCCAGTAAATGCTGAAAGTCTCTTTTCACTAACGATGACTTGGACTCGTGTACTTCTGAAAGACCGAGATGACAGGTGTTTCGGGCCTTTGAATGCGCTCCTCAGCCAGTCGATCGCCAACCCCAAAAGTGCCTACCAAAGCTACGCAGATTCCTGTATGCCTATTCCCATTCCGGAAACGGTCAATGCCTCATTTGAAGCAAGCAAGGACAGCAGAATTTAATGGCACCACAAAATTTCGCGACCGCTTCTCAACTGCTGCCGGTCGTTGCATAACAGAAATAACAAGTGAGAAAGGTACAAAGGTTTGAATTTCGACAGAGAAAATCGATGTAAAACAGCAAGGTCAACGTGTACTGTGCCATTGCACGCCACGTCAAATTGTGTTTACGAATTTACATGTACTTGTGGATGCAAGTACATTGGGCGAACGCAAAGGCAACTGGCAGCCAGAGCAGTTGAGCACCTGCCCAAATGGCTTCTAAAGCAGGAGAACAAGGCTCCACGGTCTTCCATTACAAAACATCTCCTTGATAGTGGCCATTCGGTTGACCCTAAGACGTCTTTTCGAGTATTAGTTCGAGCACGAACTACTCGGTTAGTGCGCTACCTGGAGGCAGCCTATATACGGCGGGAGAAACCCGACCTATGTAAACAGTTAGACCACGTGGTCAACCTCAGCTTGCCCTGGTAGACCCGAGCCCCTTTTGAGTTTCGAAATCCCTCGGCATGCCTTGTTCCCCATTTTCATTCCCATGTTGCATTTTGAAGTTACCATTTTATCGATTAGTCTACGCACAGTACACGTTGACCTTGCTGTTTTACATCGATTTTCTCTGTCGAAATTCAAACCTTTGTACCTTTCTCACTTGTTATTTCTGTTATGCAACGACCAGCAGCAGTTGAGAAGCGGTCGCGAAATTTTGTGGTGCCATTAAATTCTGCTGTCCTTGCTTGCTTCAAATTCATTCCGGGGAAATATTCATTCAATGCCTCATTGTTACCCATCGCTTATTTAAATGAGCTCGTAAATTTCTCCAGCATCGGAGCTGATAACGGTTATCAAAAAAATGACGACAACCGGACAGGTTTTTGTTAAAATGTCAGCAACAGGGCATATGACACCTCCGAAAAGAGGGCTATGTCGGGGACCTAGGCTGTGATGCGGGGGATGTAGAACTTTCTGATTGAAATTTTCCAAGCAATGCAAGCCGGGCACCCGCAGTCCCCCGGAGGTAACCGTGGTAAGTGGCGTCCCACCGGATTAAGTCTTAATTCCCATATTATTCTTCGTTTTCTACACAGACTTCGTCGAAGACCTAGACTAGGATGTACTCCCGTTCGTTTACGACAGACAGACAAAGGCCACCTGCGAGAAAAAAGATTGAACCGACTTACAGTAGGTGGGCTAATTCATGAAATCTCAACAGAAATTCCGATATGCGTTGCCGTCCCGAAAAGATTAATAAGGTAGGGTTGTAAAACCACTTATCATGCAGCATAATTCTTTAATAATTTAGCTACCCCCGGACGCCGGTTTTCGAACAAACTTCCGTCCGGCTGCATGTAAAGACGGCGGTCTGTAAAAAACGACTACTTAATTAGCGTTCATTTTTTTCATTGATTTTCGATGTCCCTTAAAGATTCAATTATATTTCACAGAAAACGTGCATAAAATGTTCATTCTTTTGCTCATTCAGTGGAAAATTGAGTCTTATTTCAATTATACACTCGAAGTAAGGGTATAATTTGGTTTCAAAAAGTTTCTAATTGTGAGATTTTAAATACAGTGAAATGGCCGTTCATAAAACGTCATGTCTCTGCATTTACCAATGTGGCTTGTAAAGTTAACAATGTGGCTTAAATCCACTGCTTATGAACCCTTTATGGTCCCCCCTCATTACCGAGGAGAAATGTATGGTTTTCTGTACGCGGAAATTATACGGCTTGTAGTTTACGGACCCTGAATGCAAGTGTAACGGCAGGTTGGGTTCAAAATTATTCGGAAATTTGAAAAGTTTTTGAAAGCCGGATTATACCCATCCTTCGAATGTAAAAATAAAAGAAGACTTAATTGTCTACTGAATGAGCAAAAGAACGAATATGTTTATTTGTGTTTTCTATGAAATATAAATGAATCTTTAGGGGGTATCGAGAATCAATGAGAAAATGCATGCTACTTAAGTAGTCATTTTTACGGGGTATGGTTTTCGGATGCAGCCGGAAAGACGTTTGTTCGAAAGTCGGCGTCCTGTGGTAACTGAATTATTATAGACCTATGCTGCAGGATAATTGGTTTTACAACCCTACTTAATTAATCTTTTCAAAACGGAAACACTTTTCGGAATTTCTGTTGGGATTTCATGAGTTAGCCCACTTAGTGTAAGGACTGGTCAAAAAAAGCAAGTATAATTATCTCCCAGTCTTCACCTACGGACTCTCCAGGCGAGGATTTTTCTTCCAAACGCTACGCTTATACAACCTGTTGGTAGTTAGAAAGCCCTAGATCTTTGTATTGCATTTTCGCTCAAACCAGCTCTGAACTGCATGAGGGAGGCCGGTCGGCCGTATTCACATCACAACTCATCAGGCGAGCCTTGACGGTGATTAACAAAAGGCAGCTTTCACAAAATATTCAGAACCTAAATGCGGCCGCATCTGGAATACGCTATGCAGGCATGGAGACCCCAGACCGTCCAGGACTGCACCGTTTCAAAACAAGGTCCGGATGCGGACGACAAAAGCCGTCGACCGTCTGGGAGCTCTGACCTATGAAAACAGACGCTCGCCCCTCAGCATTTACCCCTTTCCTACAGACAGCTACGAGGAGATCT